CTTACATCACTTGTATCTACTGAGAGGACTCATTGTAATATAGTGGATTCCAAATGCGCAGCCTCCCTAAAAAGAGTTTTAAGCAGCCTCCCCTAAACCGTGTTAATCAACTCATTGTGGCGTTCTAAGAGTCCAGAGAACTACCTGATTTCAAAGACAGTAAATCAACTATCAGTTCTGACCGGTTTCTAATTGTACCCTGTTCTTGGAGACTGGAAACCGGTACATTCCGAGGGAGGTCCACCTGACTGGATGGGTTGTTACTGAGAGATATGCCCCAGGTGGAGGCATCTTCAAAGCCAATATATTTTCTTTATAACTGGTGTCAAATTGATGTATATATTAAAAAATCTTGGAAAATGATCTCAAAAAGGAAGTAACAGCCCAATGAGCCATATGTTCAGGGAACCTAACAGGTTTCCATTGGGACCAAATTTCACTTCACCTTTTTGTCCTTATGTGCAAATAAAAACTTATCTGTAAATACACCATTAAAACAACCATGCAAAATCGTCAAGTCTGTAGACTGAGAAGAAATTGCCTTACACCCGCAACAACCAAGACATTGGAAGATAAAGATCTTGATTAGATATTAGAAATACATACACAGCAAGCAACTGAACTAAATGTATTTGAACTCTGTAGGTATATCACTTAAGAGAAAGATTTTGGTTGTATAGAATTGGTTAATAAAGAAAAGCCTAGTGAATGGTTAATGAATTAGTTAATTTTGATGCCGATGGAGCACCTGAATTTCCAAATTTACATTAATAAATGTAAAGTCAATTTTTTTCCTGCTAGGTAGGCTGCTATTTTAACAGACTCAGGTGCTAGAGAGTTTGCCAAATGCCAGATAATGCTCTAGCACCGGAAAATCTCTGAGGCACTGAGGGCAGAGAGGCCTGCTTACTGGTTTTCCGAGGAGTAGAAACCCCCCCTCCCCCAAAAAACATAATACAAAATTCTTGAGGTAACTCTTGTAAGAATTCTCAATTTTAAAACTTTCAATTCTGTATTTTTGGGTTGTCGATCCCAACAATTTTGCATTTAGCTATTGTGTTGGTATGTCTGGGCATCTGCTAAAAGGAAAAACGATTCACTCTGTGTGTTTGTGTAGTTCTTCATCTGATTAGATCAATGGTGATGATATAAAATACCAAAATTTACTCAGGTCATTTTTATTTTATTCTTTTGTGTTGTACTTTCATTATGACACATTACAGAGGAGGGTAGAGAGAATAACATAAGTGAAACTCTCATGTATAAATGACAGTTTTATGGAATCTTCTTCACATTTTAAATTGATCTTTTTTAAACAAAACAGTTGTGTGTGTAAATCGATGCAGTGGTAAAGGTCAGCAGAACAAAAAATTAATACTGGCTGGCTGGCTGGCTGATCTTTCAGGGGCTTTCTTTTTCCATGTACGGTTTATGGGGGAAGGAAGTTTTATGATGTCAATTTAGACACCTGCTTCGCTAAATAGCACAGAACTGGTTGGAAGGAGCTGCTTTCTCAGTTCTGGGAAGCTCGGTTTCCTTTACCCCACCGCAGCCACAACAGCAGCGTTTCAGTGTTTCAATCTGTGAGGGTAGTTTATGTAAATGCATAATAGTAAAATGTAGGGTATATGGGTAAAAGTGTATTTTAAGCAAGAGCTTCGAGCTCAACAATCAGCTTTTGAACTCAAAAAGTAGGAGGAGACGGTACTGAGACCTCAGGGCCCGGGCCGCCTCCCTCAACAGGCACAGCAGAGGCTCAGGGTTGGGGGGTTCTCCCGGGGGAGGCGGCAGCCCAGCTGGTTGGGAGGGAGGGGCAGGGGGCTGCGCTCCCGGGGCGCCCTCCCGCCTCCGCCTCTGTCCGCCGCCGGCTCCGTCAGGGCAGCCGCAGGGCAGCCGCAGGGCAGCGGCCCGGGCCGGGTCAGGAGGTCAAGCGAGGGCCCTTCGCCTTCCCGGCCTAGCGGGCGACGAAGGCTGGGGAGCGGCCGCGGGGCAGAGCCTGTGCTCGGCTGCCCGCTCCCGGGGCCTTCCGGGCCCTTCCTCGCGCTCCTGCCTGCCCCTCGCGCCCCTCGTCCTCCGTGGAGGCGCCGGGCTCGCGCCCCAGGCCCAGGCCCAGGCCCAGGCCCAGGCCCAGGCCCAGCCCCGCAGCGGCGGGCGGCGGCGGCGGGAGCGCGGGAGCGGGGCTCGGCCCTCCAGGAGGGAGGCGGGGGCCGGAGCGCGGGCCTCGGCCCACCCGCGGGGGGGTTGCTGGGGGGCGGGGGGTGCAGGGCTCCGGGCGGCTGTGGCCCGCGGGGGCGCCCGGGAGGGGGCGCAGGGCGGAGGGCGCCAGTGGCCCGCGGGGGGCGCCCGGGGAGGGGGGCGGAGGGCGGCGGTGGCCCGCGGGGGGGTGCCCGGGAGGGGCGCAGGGCGGAGGGCGGCGGAGGGCGGGGGGGTGCCCGGGGAGGGGGGGCGCAGGGCGGAGGGCGGCGGTGGCCCGCGCGGGGGCGCCCGGGGAGGGGGGGCGCAGGGCGGGGGGCGGCGGTGGCCCGCGGGGGCGCCCGGGGGCTCCCGACGCGCGAGGGCCGCGGAGCGGTGCGGCCAGCGGCGGGCGGGCCGCGCGGGAAAGCGAGGGAGCAGGAAGCGGCGGCGGCGGCGGGCCGGCTGGAAGGGAGGGAGGGAGCGCCGCAGGCGGGAGGCGGGGGCGCGGGGGAGGGAGGCCGGGGGAAGGAGGGAGCGCGGCGGGCAGGCGGAGGGAGGGCTGATTAGCATGCAGCAGCGCTCGCGCGCTCGGCTCCATTGTTTTAACACCTCCCCTCTCCTCCGCGCCAATCTGTCACCGTTCAGCAGGCGAACGCTGCTGCCTCAAATGCTGCTCTTCTCAAATGAGACGGATAATTAGTTGCCCCGCACGAATGCCGCACTCTTCTCACCCCTGATTGCTATCACCTTCTTGCTCCTGGCAGTTTTGACACCTCGTAATCAGCCTGCTGCTTTTCTCTTTTCTTCCCGACTTCTGCTTCCCTCCCCACCCCACCCCCCTTATTTATTTATTTATTTATTTATTTATTTATTTATTTATTTATTTATTTATTTATTTATTATTAGTTTAAATGCCACCCGGGTCCCCCTTCGGACGAGGCCTCCGCGGCGTCCGCCCGGCGCGCAGGGCGTCTGCGGGAAACACCGCTTCCGCGCGGAGATCTTTCCGGGCCGGGAGGCGTCGCGGGCGGTGGGGAGGCCCCGTTCCTGCCCCCAGGCGCCCCTGCCCGCCCCCGCCCCCGCCCCCGCCCCCGGCAGCCCCCGCCCGCAGCCGCCGGGAGCCGCCGAGCCGAGGCCGCGGGGAGGGGCAGCCGGGCCAGGCCCGCACCCGAGCCGCGAGCGCCAGGCGGGCCTGGGAGCGGCGGACGCGCAGCCTCCCGTGTTTATAAAGTCTTTACCTTGAAGGTTAAAAGATGTGAAGAAGAAGAAAAAAAAAAAAAAGGAAAAGGAGGGGCCTCGGGGGTGGAGGATCCCCAGCTTGCCTGCAGCCCGCCGCCCTCCGCGAGCGGACCCGCGCGCCCGGCTGAGGGGGCGGGGAGCGCCGGGCTGCAGCGTAAGGAAGCAGATGTCCCCGCTGGCAGCAGCCGCGGCTCCGGGGAGGCTGCGCCGGGGGCCCTCCCGGGGACAGTCACCTCCCACTTCTCAGGCGTCCCGCTCACAACTGCCTCGGCGCGGCGGGGGCGGCTCGCTCGGGCTCGGCGTTCCGCGCGCGCAGCCTCACCTGGGAGCTGTTCCTGCCCGGCCACGCTCAGCAGCTGCCGGCACGCGGCTCGCACGACGCGGCCCTGCGGGGCGGGCTGGGCGGCGCTCCGGGCCGGGGCGCGGGGGGCGGGGGGCCGGGGGGGCCGTCCCGGGGAGCCGGAGCCGGAGCCGGGGACCGGCGGGAACCGGGCCTTGCCCGCTCGCCCTCGCCGTGGCGGAGGGGGACAGCGCGCCGGCGCCCAGCCCGGGATGACACCTTGCTTTGAGTCACTTTCTGGGCCAGACTCTCCTTGGGTTGTCAGCAGGCTAGTAGATGTCAGCTGAGTGAGAGGGGCCCTCTCTCTTCTAGAAAAGGACAAGGAAAAAGAATCCCCGTTCACGAGATAGGTACAGTGGCATATTCTGGGTGGCACAGGCGGAGAAGTCGTTATTTTTAATCGTGTGTGTGCGTGTGCGTGGAGTGCGAGGGGAGGCTGTGGGTGCGACGTGGGGCGAGGCTCGGATGGATAATCGTCTAGGTATTTCCATTCAGCCCCAGTGGCAACGGAGGAGAGAAGTCCGGTCTCAGAACCCTTCACAGTGAATACCCAATAATCGCTATGTCAGCTTGGTGAGGAAGATGTCAATGTGATGTGCTTGGCACCCTGAGAAGTCGAGGCACCTTTTTCATTCTTTCACGAGTTAAGGCTTTTTACTGGGGCACAGGAGCCTCTCAAATTCCCCCATCCTAAAACCCTCCAATTTTTAAAAACATTTCCTCCAAAGAAGGCTTAAATTCCTGTTTTGAAAGCTGCAAATCAATGTTCACTTTATAAAATGGAAGCCATGCCTCAAAGAGTTTTAAAAATCGGAGGCAAAGGGAAACCTGAAAAACAAGCGCCACAGGGAAGAAAAATTTAAGAGACATCTTATTTTAAAGAATATTTTGCAGCCGTCGGAATTGGTATCCTCTCTCTCAAACGTCTTCCAGTGGCCATCAGTCAGGCTGTTGACAATGAACCACAAATTTCTGAACAACAATGTAAACACTTATAAGTCAATCAATAAATGTGGATACTCCTTATAGGGCTTTTTAAATTTGCTCCCCGGAAATACAAATGTGTTTCTTTAGCAAGTTTAGTTTGAAAAATAATTTCTAAATTCAAAGTGATCGTAATTAAATGTCACCAGATCTGATATCACCCTTCTACCATTAGAAAACATGAATGTTATAAACTTCCCCCAAATGTAATTTATTTTTTTCACTCAAGAACAAAGAACACATGTAAAGATCACAACATAAGTAACTTTTTAAATATTTAATTTCATCATGTAGCTATATACATAGCAAAATTTAAAACCATGTATATTATTTAACAAAACAATCTAAAGTATTTAAATAATTCTAACCAGTGATTTTATCCCTGGGCAACAAAATATCTTAGGTTTGGCATTTACCTAGGTATTTATGTTGTCTGCTGTTCTGTATTACAGGTTTATTTAAAAAAAAAATAAAATCGTATAGCATAAATAATCTAATTTTAGGTGAAAAACCCCATAAACATTTGACATCACCAAATTCAACAGATCTAAGTAGAAATCCAAGCAATAAGCTTAGACTTTTGAAACAAACATAAATTAAGGCAATAAACACTGTAAACATGAATACAATGAACTACAGCTTCGTACAGAATGATCTTTTAAAAGAGAAGAAAGTTACAATGTAAGGTTAGAAAAAAAATTCATAGCTATTTTTCACTAAATGATCTTGAACTAAGTTTGCAATCAAGTATCTATAGTATTACAAACCCAAGACCATCACCCAGACCTGGATGATGACATAGACTCATCTCACAGAACTGTCTTCAAGTGCATCTTAAGTCTCCCCATTAAAGTGGGAGTTCAAGTGCCGCAGGAAATCCCCCCTGGATGTAATGGATGGTGGGAAAACCGCTTGACAGAATTCACAGACCCGAGGGATAGGCAGCTCTGAGCCCCTGCCACCCAGGACCGAAGATAAGTCACTGTCTTGATTAGGAAAGGGCTTCCAAATGGGCTGCAGGAAACAAACAAAAACATCTTCTGTTATTTGTACTTACAATCAACTTACAGTGAATTTCAAATGCGGGGTTTTCTGCACGGGGTATGCGCATAAACACAAAATTCCCTCACAGGAAAGCAAAGTACCTTTCCATAGCATTAGCATGAAGGCAGGACTCCATTCTCGTTTCATTAAGGGCACAGCTGAACTTTGATTAAGAGTCACTGAAAACACATACATGCGCTTTATCTTCATCTAGTCAAAGATTTTCCAGTTTTACCATCAGCAAATTTTAATGCCTGTTATCATAATGGCAGTAGTTTTTGGAACAGTCAATAAGACTTTTTAAAAATTAAAATCTCTCTTTACTCTTTTCCAACAGAAACCTTAAGTTATAGGGCTCTTATTAATACACAGTACACTAGACATGATGTGTGTAAACATGCATTCTGATCAAGAGCCATTTAAATTTCGCTACTTATAAGCAAATACACAATGAATAAAACATATAGGAATAGTGTGGTTTTGGTGAAAGAATTTTTAAAGTACTAAACAAATTCCACTCATCAGTTGTTTTTTGAAACCTCAAAATTTTAATCATTCAACAAATCTAACATAAGATGCATTCTTTTGACTTATTTTGCTCTTGCTATATATACTGCATAGTTTTGCCTTCTTTACTTTTTTGTGACTGAATACTTGTCAATAGCTGCCTAATTAAAGAAGTATGAAAAATTCAAAGGAACTATCTCCATTATAAGCAACACATAAATACTCTGGAAATACTGCATTTATTCTAAAAAATTTAGCAGGGCAAGGAAAAGCACTTAGTTCAATAGTAGGTGCTCAATAAATGCTTGTTGACGATCTTATTTTCCTGAATATTATAAACCAAATTATTTAAAAAATTCACGGGGATCCCTGGATGGCTCAGCAGTTTAGTGCCTGCCTTCCACCCAGGGCATGGTCTTGGAGTCCCGGGATCGAGTTCCGCATCGGGCTCCCTGTGAGGAGCCTGCTTCTCTCTCTGCCTGTGTCTCTGCCTCTCTCTCTCTGTGTCTCTCATAAATAAATAAATAAAATCTTTAAAAAAAAATTCACTTTCTTGTATACCTTGACACAGGTAAATTACCTTCACACAGCTAATTTCTGATACTTTGAGGAGAATTACCTCAAAAACTCAATTTAAATAAAGAGACCCCTTTGGCCTCCTATGACTAATGTGTTTTTAAAGTAACAGCCTAGTTCAACACCTGATACAGTGTTAGTTTTCATTCCCTTAACCAATCTCCCATTCTAGTTAACCAATCATTTACAATAAACAAGTGTATTACTAATTGAAGCAATTGAGTTTCACAACATCACTGTCTTCTTAAAAACATTTTACTGGACAGCTGTGTACAGTTGGTGTAAATATACAAAGTCTGCTAGGCACCGAGATACATTCAAATATCAGAACAGAGGCTTCTAATAACATTGACTCAATTCCCTTTTTAAGAAGTGACAATTTTATCACAAAAATAGTAATATTTAAATATTTTAAAATTTGGGGTAAGATAATTTTCTTTAGAAAATAGGATTAAAAGCAGTGATAACTGTGAGAAATAAGCAAAAATAAGTTAGAGTTAACCAGATTTAAATTTTACTGTTTTCAGTTTAAACAAGAAGTACAAGTGATTAGGATGATCACTTTCATGGGAAACTGATATGGATATAAATAAAAGATTGTTCCATTAAAGGTAATTCTTATTAAGATCTATAAAATAGGAAGAAATAAGCTTAGAAGCAATTTAGCTTCTAAATTTGGTAAGCCAACCTTCTACTGCCAATTTATCTTCAAAGTCCATGTTTATCCTTCTCTATTAGGAGTTACTGGTTCAGATTTGATCTTTTCATAGAATTCAGTTGGGACCCCACTCACTGACTCAGCAAAAGTATGAAGAAAAGAAAATCACATACAGTAAAAATAAGCAGATATATTTAGGCTTTGTCATGATAGCTGAATGTATAAAAAAGGTATTAAGAAGTAGTGATTGATATAAAATAAAAATCTGAAATATGTAACCCAAATTTTTCACTTGTCATTATCAACAATTCAAGAATTTTGTATTTATCATACTAGTTTTATTAACACAAATAAAATGGCAAAATGTTCTTAAAATTTTAAGAAATATTCTTTCAATCCTAAACTGCAACATGGCCTTCAAAACAAACTAATTTCTTTGCCTTTTCTGCCAAAATATCAATTATCTAACCTTATGCCCCATGTCTTGTGACAGCTCAACACCAATTCTTCTGCATTTTTTAAGCTGAATACTTTTCCATCAAGTTGTAATCACATACCAGCTGTTTCCCTTGCTGTAGCATAGAAAGCAAATGCACAATGCAGGGTGCCATCTACTGAAACATGAATGCACAGACTAACTAGTAAAAGAACAAGCAAGAGATATAATGGGGGAAAAAAGTAACAAGCATTAGAACTAATGCACTTTACAGCTCCACGGGAATTCTACTTGCAATAAAAGAAATTGTTTAATTTGTTTCATTTAGTAATAACTATATTGGGACTATGATGTGAAATAAGGCACAATGTAGAACATAAGTGAATTTATAATTAAAGCTTATTGTCAGAGATGCCTAGTTTTTCCCACTACCAAAATATACCACAGCTTGACTACTGCCTCCTTTGTATGCTGATTTAGAAGTCTATAACCTATACCAGTACCTAGAAAGGCAAAGGCTATTCATCAAATTGTTGGATTTTTAAAAATAAGTATCTCAAGGCAAAGAGAAATTACACAAATGTGTGCAAATTATATAGATATTTACACCATTGTGTATTTTCACAAGCTTCTGCTTACTGTAACAATTATATATTTTTCACTTGCTTTCAGGCATTTTTTTTTTTTAAAAACTAAAAGCATCATTATCTCTGATAGAACCTGGATAAATGAGAGAGTAACTATGGACTGGGGGCTGTAAGTAGTCTTCAAGCTTTAGAAACATTGAAGTGTTTGATTAAAATCATACATATGCAGAGATCATCTGAAAAATATATTAGGCTGCATGTTCATTGCCAGATTAGAAACCAAAACCAAACCCTGCGGATCTACGTACTGTATAACTGAGAATGTAATGGAAGTATTAGATGAAAGACAGTTTACTTGTTTTGATAAATAGGAGTATACGATGCAATTATTTACTTATGAAAAACATGTATTCTTGTAAAGAGGAAAATGACAAACTTTTCAATAAAAAAATGCCATTTGTTTCACAGTATGAAATTTAACAAAGGATCCTACTGTAACACTGATGCTGAGTAAAAAGCTTTGAATAAGGCACTAAGAAAATGACATACACTAGGTATGGATAAAGCTACCATGTATTTTAAAATGTGCCCTACATTTTAAGGTACTTTATGATAGAGCTTAACCATATTGAGCTTCTAAAATTTCATGACATTTATTATAGGGCTTAGCTTTTTAATTAAAGTCCTTAACTGTAGCTAGTCATTAGTTTAAAACAGGATGTCTGATAACCTAAAAAGGATGCATATCTGTGCATGTATGGCAAAATGTGTGTTCACACATAATATATTTGTTAATGCAAAACGGTTACCTGCTGTGGTCCTCGGATAGCTTTTCCCGGAGAATCAAATGAAGCAAAAGGTACATCAGATGGGTCCTGAAGTAGTAATGTATTTACATATAATGCATTATGGTTTCCAGGTGGCAAACACAGAACTCTATCCAGAGATGTCCTGATACACGTGTTTACAAGATTGGAGGGTTTTGTTTTGTCAGTTATTTTAAGATTTTGTATAGCTGATGCTATGGGGTCAATTCCCTGAATTTGAAATAAAGTTTCTTCTGTTTTAACAAAGTTTCCCGGGTTGTCTCTGAACTCCTTATTAAATTTATCATGACTTGATGTCTCAGTTACGACAGGACCAAGGATGTTGGGTCTTTCTGGAGTACTATGTAAGAAAGTAGAGTCATTGTCCGTAGGTGGAAACTTGACATTGAATTTAGAAAGTGATTCAAAAGAGGTATCTTCCTCATCTCGGCCCAGTCCTCTCGGTGTGACAGATGTGACGCACGGTGCACCTCTATTTATATCATCTTTAGCCTGAGGCTTAAATAGCGCTTCTTGTTTATCTGTTTTATCTGTACACTGTATAGGAAGAGAGCACTGTGTTTCTGCAGGGAAAAGAGCACAAAAGGAAAACAGTTGCATTCCAATCATTCTTAAAAATCTGAATGTTCAATGAGCTTTGGACAGATGAATATTATTTTTTCTACTAGTTTTCATAGCAGCTGAAGACAACTAGGATTTTTTACATTTGCTATCATCTTCCACAGGAATATTAACAGTCTCTAGTGGGTGAACTGGAATGTAGTTTATTAGTCACAGTTAAACTACTTTGTCTTTTCCTAGGTCTTTTGCTGTAAGCTTTGCATCTTGTTCACAGTTATACTGCTCTATGCTCAAAAAACATTTGCTTGTAGTGTATACATTTAAACATTTTGTCAGTAATGGAAGCTGCAACTGTGAGCTTGCTTAGACAAATAAGTTGTTAAAAAGGAAAATCCTTACTAGGCATATATAATATTATACAGGTTAAGAATCTACATGAATCAGGCCATTTATTACCCCTAATACCATTGTGTTACAAAGTATACCACCAATCAATTTAGCCATTGTGTACTCTCAGTAATCCATGCGAGGGAGTAGTAGTGGTGGGGGTTGGGGAGAAAGAAGACAGCAGAGGCAAGAAGGAGGAAATTTTGGGATGCGTGTTCAGAAAACTGTATGTGAATACATAATTCTCTCATTTTATATATAGCCTCTGAAGCTAGTCGGTAGATACAGGTAGATACCATGGCCTCTGCAGCTCATTTAACTGGAAGCTGCTTATCTAACAAATTCAGCTCTCTAGAACAAATTCAGCTCTCTAGGACACAGGCAAAAGCTAGAAAGTAAGTAAATAGAGCTTCTGAGTCAGAATTAGAGCCAAAAGGCCCACAGATACATGCATTTTGCTCTTATTCTCTTTTTAGATTTATTCTAACAAGCTTGATGATATTTCCCTAGCTCGGGGGGCTGGTTAGAAACAGCAAATTAAAAGGTAGGGATGGGAGTTGTTGAAGACAGATATAGATATCAACAAGAGCTAAAAGCATGAGAGGAGACAAGAAAAACAAAAAAGCACATATGAGAACTCAGAAAACACTATGGTCTGGGATAGTGCCAATAAAGGCTACATTTCTCAATGCATAAAAACAATGATCAAAACACTCTCCATGTTGATGATCCCGAGACATTAGAAAAAGCTAAATTGTGCTTCTGCAATCTTACCTAAGAAGACCATAAGGTTGGAGATTGGTAATATGTGATTTTCATTAAACAGACAAAAGGTAGCAATTTTTAAAAATCAGCACTTTAAAAAGGTCCTCAGAGAAGTGTCTTCACAAAAGGAGACTTTCCCAAGGACACCAATTTAAACAGAGAGTACCCTGTACAACAATGTCCGGCTTAGTAGGCACTTAACAAATATCAATCAGTTCCTTCTCTCTAGTCTTTACAGTCTCATGACACCTTTCCATCTTTTGCCACAGCACATTCTGACAGAAGGTATTTTCTGCTTGGACATGATGGTAGTACAGTGCAACCAACTTCTTTGGTTTACCTCCGTATATACCTACTACCTCTCTTTAGTACGCAGCATCTTATCTTAATGGTACTGAACTGCTTCTTTGCCTTTAAATTTAGATCATGTCCAATCCATTCTCTACATTGCTCCCTATTTTCTTTCTAAAATACAAATCTGGTCATGTTACCTTCCCAATAAAATCTTCTCATGGCTCTCCAAAGCTTCACCCCTCAGAAAAGTCATATAAAACTGTTTGTGTCTGGCCCCTGGTCACCTCTCCACGGTCTCACCTTTCACCACAACTATAATGGTGGTGAACTTTGTACAGTTCTCCAAAATAGCCATGTTCTCCTGTCTTTGGGCCTTTGCACACACTGTGCAGACTGCCTGAAGTGTCCTCTCTGCTAATCTTTACCTAACTTTATCTGTCCTTCATTTCTTGGCGTAGACATTAATTTCTCTGGATAGCACTCCTGGCTCCCCAAGACTGGTTTAGGCATAACTCTTGGGCCTTGAGGGTTAAACACTTTGCATTGTATTTGCAAGTGGGAGACAGAATAGTCTCCCATTAAAGTAGGTTTCTTAAGATCTTCAACTATGTTTTGTTTCCCACTTAATCCGAGTCCCCTATCTAGTGCCTGGCAGATAGTATGCCCTCAATAAATATATTCTAAATGAATTTGTATTCTGTTCCCAACAGAGCCTAGTAATGTACATTCGCTAGATAATTTGTGACTAGGAGTGGTCTCAATTGAGACCAAGCTCAATTATCTGGCAGGATTTCTTTGTCCTTGAAGGTATCTTAAAGTCCATTAACTGTAGTCATTTTTCCTGATAGTAGACTTAACAGTAGCTAGAAATTCTAGGAAATACTACTTTCTTTGTAGGTGACATTTGCTAACTGCAAAAATCAAATCAGGAAAATCAACTGTTGAGGTAACCAAATCAATAACATGTGAGGAGGAAATGCTTATCAAAATGATCCTCACAAGCAGAACAGGGAGATGATGAAGAAGCTGCTGCTGCTGCTGCTAATGACAACTATTATAATAGCACTTCTATGTGCCATGCACTGTTAATACCGTTGTTTGTGCCTTAATTCATTTCCTACTTAAAATAATCACATGGTAGGCACTATATTATCCCCACTGTACTTGTGAAGAAACAGAGACATGAAGAGGTTACTTCCAAGGCTAATCAATGAGTGGTAGATCTGGCACTGGAACCCAGGCAACTTAATTCTAGAGCCTGTGCTCTGAACCATTATGCTAAACCAAACATGCTGGTTTCTATATATATAGAAGAGTCCCCAAAATGATAGAAATGTGTTCTGAATTTTTTTTCCCCAGTAGTTGATCTATTCCCCTTGTGAACAAAATCTACAAAACTCAAAACAGCTAAAAAAAGGCAGGTATTTTGTTTTTGTATAGCTAGTGGGCATACCTCAGCCACATTAAAATAATTTTCTGAATTAATCTGTTTAAGCAATGAGTTACTATCAAAAAAAAAAAAGATTTTAACGAGGTGCCTAAAAACACTTGTCATTCTGACACTATACTGAAAAACATAATCAGGTGGAGCAAATTGCTTTTCTATTTTGTTTATTTCAAGAACATTTATTTTTGCAAGGAAAAAAAGCAAAATGAGAAACATTTTTAGATTTCCAAATTTTAAGTACAGGCTGTCCATTTAGACTACTTCTAGCTTAATTACCTTGTATACTGACAAAAGAAAAAGATCTGATGTGGTTGTTTGTAATCTGCAATCCTATATTCTACTCTTTTGATCTCCTCTGAAAAAAGACCTCCTTTATGCATCAAATAATACTTTTTATGAAGCCACATTTGCTTAACCATACATCTTATCTTGATCCCTTCTCAAGGCTATTGCTGTAAGTGAATGAGAAGAAAAAAGAAAAAGGGAATGTACACTTCTACCAACTCAGCAATTTTCCATGAATTATACATTCATCTAAAAGTTGAATTTTCACAAAAAATAACATGGGGACAATAACGCTAAATATACTCTTTTCAGCTGTATTATGCAAATCACATTTGAAATAGCTTCTTGATATTTTTATTCAACATAACATCCATCCTTAAAAAGTCTGAACAGGCATCTTTTTCCAAAATGCCTTTCTTTTTCTTTTTGACCTACTACTACCAGAATAATACTTAACATTTTGGTTTTTGTCTGGACCCAGGACAACTTCACTGAAGTTGCTGGGACAACAGATCTAAAATATTTCAAAAATAATCTTGTATTATTATTTATGACACATTTAATATAAAACACACAAAAAAAATGTTAGGAAGCAGTTTTGGTGGGGAAGAAATTGAAGTTAAACACTCAGTGTTCTAGTTGACAGATACATACTCAGATTTAGACCTGTGCAATTTAAAAATGGTCAAAGTATTAAGCCATTGATAATGGGGTAGGTTCTCTGTATAACAATGAATATATCACCATTACAATGTTTTGATAAGATGCTGATGTTATAAAAATCACATTGATGAATTCTATGTACTACATCTCTATAGCTAGTACATTTTAAATGAAAATAATTCTTTTACTTCAGGAGAAGAAGTCTTTAGGCTACACAAAAGAACAATTTCTCATGAAAATAACAAAAATTCAGGTGAAAGAATCAGTTATTTTGGGGGAGGTAGAAGGGAGGGAGGAAAAGAAATAAATGATGTCTATCTATTCAGATTGTATTGTTTCTCTACCACATTGTGTACCTTTTCTGAAAATAAAATGGTAGTAGTAGGCAAAAAGTGAATTTACACTGTAAAAGGATTTCTAAGTAGCCTAGATATAAGAGCTGTTAGAAGTGGAAAGTGATCTTTAATTAAAGGGGTATTAGCACTGCTGCAACATCTTTCAGAGTGAAAACTGTAAATCACATCTCTTGGGAATTGTATGCAGAATATCTCAAATCACAAGGGTAAAGGAGAATTTATCATTTTAAATGATCAGTTTACCTTTCCTTTGTTTACAGAAGTGCCTAGTAGCCAGATTCAATCCCTTGCTATTCATATGAAACTACTGAAGCAAACCCAAGTCTGGGGTTTTAGGAAAGGGTAAAGGTTTTAAAAAACAAACTCTAACACATCTATAAAACAGATGTTCATTTTAAGTTATATTTTATACTAAATTTGTACTTTGCATCTCCAACAGAACTGGCCTCATGAAATGTGAAATGTTTACTTCTTGAACCAAATTATAAAAATCTATCCATAGCGTTCAATCAACGTTCAAGCAGAAGTTAAAAAACTGGTGTTATAATTTTACTTAGCTCATATTTGGTAGTACAGCTTCAAGGCTGCTTACTAACTTAATGAATTAATGTGTAATTAAACTCCCAAATAGCAACTGAAGACTTTGAGAGGTATTTCCTATATTTATTTTGTACTTTTTCCAAGGTGGGACTTCTCATTAAGAAGATTAGTAATTACATCACTCAATTCACTCTATATAGTCCCACACACAATAAAGAGAGAAGGCCAATCATTAGATAACGTAATACAGTACAGAACTTAGATAGCGCTTATCCATTATAAGTGGTAGGAGGCACAAACTGCGACCCTTAGCACTTAATAAGCATTTATAAATATTTTTCCAATCAAAAAGAAATAAATTTAAATTGGGCAGCCCAGGTGGCTCATCGGTTTAGCGCCGCCTACAGCCCAGGGCGTGATCCTGGAGACCCGGGATCGAGTCCCACGTCAGGCTCCCTGCATGGAGCCTGCTTCTCTCTCTGCCTCTATCTCTGTCTCTGTCTCTGTCTCTCTCAATTAAATAAATAAAACCTTAAAAAAAAAAAGAAAGAAATTTAAATCAATCAAATTAATATTACTGTGTGTTAAATCAAACCTTACCAGTTGCAGTGGCTGGTACATTAAGTTTGCTTAAGTAGTCTTTTTGTGCTTTTGCTAGCATGCATATTCTATGAAATTCTTCTTTTAGATCCTGGAAAGTCTTCTCTATATAAGCCCTAAAAATAAATATTTCAAAATATAAGGCTTTATCATTAGACATTTTTTATTATCATTAAACTTAAATAGCACCGTTTTATATACCATAAAATAATTATTGAAAGGTTAAAGTTTAAAAATTACTTCAAAATCCTAGAAAATATCCCACAGAACTACTCTAATGTTTGGAGAGCCAGGCACAAAGGCACAAAGTAAGTGATAAATTAAAAGTTCTAATACATACAGGAGGCACAGACCAGGATATTTATTTATTCATAAGCTGCTCTTTTGATGGCTGTCTCATTCTTATGCTAGAAATTCAATGATTTTTGTTTTCAGGAAACATCTTAAAAAGAAAAAATTAAATGTCCCTCATTTTGATAAGGTTTACATTAAAATCTGTCCATATAAAATAATGTGGCCATAATACTTTGTCTATTAAATATTAGAGCTTTAAGTTAGTTTTTAGATCCATCTCTGCTATTCATTGTATGACTTACATACACCATTTTAATATGGAGGAGCCTTGGGGCAGTCTCTTTTAGTTCTAAAAGGCTGCTATTTTGTTACACTTGCAAAATTTTAAAATACGCAAATAAAAATTTATTTCAATATTTGTAATTTTTAGAGTTGGCAAAAAAGAATATAGAACTACCTTTCATGGAATAAAGGAATGCCAAGACTCCTTGGTGAAGTTTCTTTTCTAGGAGAAGAAACCTCTTGTCTTCTTACCTTAAAGATACAAAATAATCACCACTTTAAATTGCTTGTAAACTCAAATGAGAATGGGTTAACAGAAAATACAATGGAAAATTCATCCTCCTCATTGAAAAACAAATTTAGGTAGCTTACAGATATACAGAGATTTTTTTTTTCTTTAAATGGGAACAATCAGAGGAAAAGGAAAATTAAGGTAGAAAAATAGGATATAGACGAAGTGTTTCTGGTAACTTCTGTAATTACTATTTCCAGTACTGACAATTCAAGAACTTTCCCAAATTCAAGTACTGAGGGCAGCCTGGGTGGCTCAGCAGTTTAGCACCACCTTCAGCCCATGGGCTGATCCTGGAGACCCGAGATCGAGTCCCAGGTCGGGCTCCCTGCATGGAGCCTGCTTCTCCCTCTGCCTGTGTCTCTGCCTCTCTCTCTCTCTCTCTTATGAATGAATGAATGAATAAAATATTTAAAAATAATTCAAGTACTGATTGAAACTGTTGCTCTGATTATCAAGGCTTGGTATCACCAGCAACGAGGGAAAAAAAAAAAACCTGTGTATATGTGTGTTTACTTCTTTCCTGCTATTGGCCTACATTTAAAGACATTTAAATCAATGTCTTTGTATTCTGTTATAGATTCTTGGCTGAGGAATGCAGTATATTTAGAGGAAGAAAGAAAACCAAGCCACAGCACCTTAGCATTTAACAAGCAATTTTAAAGACCCTGCAATGATGTATTTAGGCTACTTTCTGAAGCTAAGTTCTTGCCTTTCACTCCCACCCTGTGGCTTATTCTGGTATTACATTTATTCTGACACTTAAAAGTCAACATTGAAGAACATGTAATAAATCTGCTGTTATGGTTTAGATTTAAAAAAAAATCTTTAATCATACCTAGAAAACTTTGTGTATCTTCTAAAGGCATGGTAAACTGAAAGATATGAAGATGTCCTAATATTATACAATCATAAATTATAATTCTACCCAAAGTTCGTAGGTCTTATTTAAGTTCAAAGTGAAACCGTGAACATTTGTTCTTAGCAACTTTTTAAGATTTAAAGTCATTGTAGCCATCATTAAAACGGATGATTTTGCCTCTTTCTTACCATGGTATAACCCCTTTTAATTTGCTTTTCAAAAAGTTCTTTCAGTTTCTCAGGAGTTTCATTTGTTAAGAAAAAGGCTTGATTCCAGGTTGGTTTTTTTTTTTCTAAATTAGTCTCTTCTCCAATTTATTTCAGTTTATTGCTCTACTTTTCTAGCTTTTTCTAAGAGTGTTTGTGTAACATTTCTAAAATAGAGTATTCCTTTAATTAGTAAAATAAAATCTCAGCAACCCAAACAATTTGTGATTTTATATATTATGTTGTCAGATTGAGGTAAAATGAGTATCATTTGCTGCTGCATACTTTTGTCTGGCAAACATTTAGGCCGTGTCTTCTTTTGGATTAGAAGTGTTTTACTGAGCTTGTAAAGCAGTCACATCAAAAGACATTTTCACACTCAGAGTTTGTTTTTAAAAACAGTTGACAAAATTTTTTAGTGTTACATGCAGTTAAAACACTCAATGGATTTTAGTGTGGACTAGGAAAAAAAGTAACATCTTAAAGATAACCAACCATTCAGGATGCCCCAAGTATAGAAATAAACTGTTAAAAGATACTATATTAAGGGGTGTCTGGGTGGCTCAATCAGTAGAGCTTGTGACTCTTGATCTTAGGGGTCATGAGTTCAAGCCCCATGTTGGATAAAAAGTTTACTTAAAAAAAAAGATATAAAATCTGTATCAACAAAATCAGAGAAGAGATAATTAAGAGAACAGAAGCATTTGACAATTTAATGCTAAACAAATCATAGTAAAATATGTGATTAAATGAAATCATTAATCTCCTTTTAAAATTTACTATGAGAAATCCTTAGTACAAAGCAAAATTATTTTATTAGGAGCCAGAAAGAACCAAAAAGTTCTGTTGACCCCTGAACTATGTGGAGTTAGAAGTGCTAATTCCTGTATATAAAATCCATGTATAACTTTTGGCTCCCCCAAAACGTAATTACCAATAGCCTACTACTGACCAGAAGCCTTATGGATAACATAAACACTCTATTAACACATATTTTGTATGTTCTATACTGTATTCTTATAATAAAGCTAGAGAAAAAAATATCGCAAAAATCATGAGGAAAATATGTTTAGAGTGATATAGAAGTAGACTCACTCAGTTCAAACCTATGTTGTTCAAGGGTCAGCTGTGTTCTGTAATTTTAACCTAAAAATGAAGATATTGGGCAGCCGGGTGGCTCAGCAATTTAGCACCGCCTTCAGCCCAGGGCCTGATCCTGGAGACCCGGGATCGAGTCCCACATCAGACTCCCTGCATGGAGCCTGCTTCTCCCTCTACCTGTGTCTCTGCCTCTCTCTCTCTCTCTCCTCTCTGTGTCTCTCATGAATAAATAAATAAAATCTTTTTTAAAAATGAAGATATTTACAAAAAGTAGTAAAGATTATTCCAGTTTCCAAAGTACTGATTCCAAATCATTATTTGGGATGATTGCTTCTGATGTTAAAAAATCCTTAAAAACAAAGGGCTTGGGGGTGAAGATGAGGAGATGAAAGTGAAGGAAAAGGTAGGAAAAGAATGATAGACTTTTTGTGGTTTGGCAAATAACCTGAGTCAACCCATTTCTCTAGCATTTAGATTTTTTGTTTTTTTTTAAAAAGATTTTATTTATTTGAGAAAGAGAGAGAGCACGAGTGGGGAAGGAAAGGGAGAGGGAGAAGCAGACTCTTCACTGAGCAGGGAGCCCGATGAGGGGCTCAATCCATAGATCATGACCTGAGCCAAAGGCAGCTGCTTAGCCAACTGAGCCACCCAAGTGCCCCCTGACATTTAGATTTGATAACTAGTATGTGTGAATTTATCCAGAAAAGATTCCTCAGGTAAGGGCTAATGGGAAGACTATCTTACTAAGAAATTTCCATGAAGTATGTAACACAGCCTTGCTTACTATTATTATTATTGAAGAAAAACATTACAGTTGTACTCAGCAGTACACTGCATCTTCTATCATTCACATCAAATACATCTCTTGATATAGGCTGAATGAACATTTTAGGTTTCCAGCACCCTAAGAAAATATTTCAAAGGGACCTTTTAACATGTCAGTTCAACAAACAGATGACCAAAATGGCAAGCAGTTCTGTGACTTTGGGAAGCAGGGTTTATCTAGAATGGGTATGGCATGTCAATGCTATTTTCCATTGTAGCTATCTGATGCAACTTTCTGAGAACATTCATTTATTTTTCAAAGGACATAGAATTAGATGGCCAATGGTAACTCCAACACTTTTCCCAGAAACTCAAGACTCGCTTTTCAACGCTAAATTACTTAATAAAAACTATGCAGCTCTTTGAACATCCCAGAGAGTCAGTAAACATTAAAAGACATAACTTGTATTTTTCCTTCAATTCTCAAATATTATCCAGGAGGACCCTGAACTGCAGGAAGCTGAAGTTACTGCAACTTCAAATAAGAAAGCAAGGGAACTTTGAACGTTGTATTTTAGGAGATTTTAAACGTTAAATCATTCAACAAATGAGTTTATTTTGAGGTACTAAAACTTAAAATACTTAACATTATAAACTGTTCCAAGTACTAGTTTGGAAATGCCGAACTTGTGGAATGAATACTGAAATAAGAGCTTTACACGTCGTACTTTTCATTTACACTTCCACTATGGCGCTGGATAAGTCATTCAACTAAATCATTAAGATAAACCCATTTAAAAACAGTTGAAAGATGTTGTGAAATGATTCCTTAAATTGCCTCTTATGTGAATTGGGAGAATTCTGTTTTAGTGTAAATCAATTTAAGTTTCTCATAGATGGGTATCATATAAAAAATATATGTTCCAGGGCCAGTTGAATATGCAATGATATTTAAGGAACGAAAAGAAAAAGTGGCTAATATTTTTGTTAGTCCCAAACCAGATTTATTCTTAATGCAAAGATAATGGAAAATGTTTCTGTGTCTGTGTGTTGTGTGTGTGTTGGGGGTCCAGGATCTGTTAGATATCTACATCTTAAAGAAAGAAATGTAGGTTTTCCCCAATGCTTGCTATTTTTTATATTTAGCACTTGAAGTGAAAGCATTTTATTCCTTTTATAAACCAATTTGAAACATAAAGAAATGACTCACAATAACCAAAATATGGATTCAATCTAAGTGTCTGTAAATGAATGACTGCATATAGAAAATGTCATATACCCACAAACACAATGGAATACAACTGACCCTTGAACATCGGTTTGAACTGTGCAGGTCTACTTCTATGCAGTTTTTTTTTTCAGTAAATAGAGTACAGTTCTATAAATGTATTTTCCTATGATTCTTAACATTTTATTTTCTGTAGCTTATTTTACTGTAAGAAGACAGCACATAATACATATAACATAGAAAATATGTGTTAGTTGGACTGTTCATGTTATCAGTAAGGCTTCTTGTCAATAGCAGGCTACTAGTAATTAGGTCCAAAGTTACATGTGGATTTTCAACTATGTGGGGAGTCAGTGTCTCTGACAAAATATATATGTGTACACACACACACACACGCACAGACATACGTGATGAATATATCAACCTTAAAAAAAAGAAGGAAAATCATGTCATTTGAGACAACATGGATGAAACTGGAGGACATAATCCTATGTGAAATAAGGCAGGCACTGAAAGACAAATATTTCATGATCTCACTTCTATGTGGAATCTAAAGAAGCCAAAAATCATAGAAGTAGAGAGTAGAATGGTAGTTGCCAGGGTTTGGCGGGGTGGGGAAATGGGTGGGATGTTGGTCAGAGTACAAATTTTCAGTTATGCAGGATAAATAAATTCTAAAGATCTCATGCACAGTATTATGGTGATTATAGTTAACACTGCCACACTGTGTACTTGAAATTTGCTAAGAATGTATTCATCATAATAAAAAAGAAAGAAAACTATGTAAAGAGATGGATA